TACGTGTTTTAATAATCAAAGGAGATGGTACAGTGAAAGGTCAACAAGAAAAAAAAAATTTAAAAAAAATTGTTGGAGACACCCGGACTCGAACCCGGGATCTCAAGGTCGGAAGTCAAGTGCGTTACCGATATATCAAAACATTTCCCATAGCGATTACACGTAAACGGAAAATGGAATTCTCAAATCTCACTTTGCAAGTAAAATATGAGCATGATCCCGGCATATGATCGAAAAATAAAGTGCACATTGGAGATAGCGTATTGTCTCAGCTACAACATACCCGAAGCTCAGCGAAAACAAAGCTGAAACAACGGAAATATTGCTCGCGAAAGACGGAAATGTAGAATCCAGTTTTGAGGAAAAGTCATGTCCCATAGAGAATACACGCAAAATGTGAAAAACTGACATGCCTCCTTTAATCGCAAGAAAAAGCCATGATGCCTTTGTCAAAATGAAAAATTGTGGATATTATATTTGTAGAAAACTGTCTCAGCTAGAACATATCAATATTTGGAAGAAAAACAATCAATATTTACAGAGATACAATAAATTTTCCAAAAATATGCAAACGTCATAATATGCAAATTAAAATTTTGAGTTCAGAGGCCATTATGATGATGTTTTGATTTAATTGAGGGTCAAATGAGACATGAAATCATATCTCCGCCTCATAATCTATCTAAATATGAAAAAATATTGGGAGTTCCTATATATTCTGAAGATTTAGAAAGAATTTGGTTTAGGCATGTTTTTGTTCATGTATTATGGATAAAGATAACGCAGGTCCGCGCGCGCTATCAACTTTGACGGACGCTCATTGCGTTATTAAAAGATGAACAAGTTATCAAAATGCTTGGAAAAATGTGCCAAATATGATGACAGAGAAAATTCGGCGATTCTATGTTGCAAAATGCTAGTACGTGCAAAAAACGCGCGCGCATGCGCGTGAGCATGATTTTTTGTCAAATGCTCCATATGGCCTGAAACGTATGCAAAAAAAATTTGGGATGATTTAGAGCATTTTACATTTTTGCGCGCGCGTAAACGCGCGGACGAACGCGCACGCAAGCATTTGCGCACGTTTATTGACCTGAAATTGACCGGACGGATATTGATCTTAATCATGATAAATATTAATGAAAAATTGCTTTCCGTTATGAAGATATGATCATAAGTTGATTTTCACAAAATGGCGCCTGGATGACGTCACGATGACTTTGACTCTCTGAAAAGTCACGCAGTTCTAAGTTAGACTAAGATCTATCATCATGGAAAGTTTCATGATAATGGCATTATTCAGTCTTGAGATATCCTGCGAACAAAATTATGGCAGAATAATAAATAATAAAAAAAAATAAAGAAAATCTTGACGAAATCAATAGGTGATACGTAGACTTCGTTACGTATCACCTAATAATAATAATTTTTTGTGAATAATAAAAATCTTGACGAAATCAATAGTTGATACGTATACTTCGTACGTATCACCTAAAAATTTCTTCAAAATTTGCAATTTCAACTTTCGATTGAAAATTCCGACATGATCCCAACATCTGATTAAAAAACAAAGTACAACGTTTTGATAGCCCATGGCCTCAGCTATAACATACCCAAATTTGGGAGAAAATAAAGCACAAATAAGATAGATAGTGCTCAAAGATGAATGTCATGTAGATTCATGATGTGAACAAAATTCACCTTCCATAGACATAACACGCAAATTAAGAAAATTCTGACATGTGGCCTTTAATCGAAGTTTGTACTATGATGACGTCATTAAAATGAAAATTAATGTGTATTGATCTTGTGGACAATTGCCTCGACTACAACATATTTCAATCTAGAGGAGAATTGATGAATATCGAGAGAAATACATTACATTTTCCATAAATATAATGACGTCATAATATGCATTTTTGTATTTTGACTTCCAAGGCCATTATGATGACGTCAAGATGAACTTAAAGTCCAAATGAGATATGAAATCATATCTCCGACTCATACTCTATCTAAATATGGACAAAAAATAGGCACTCCTTATTCATCTCAATGGACTTTTTATGGGCATGTTTTTGCCCATATATGCTATGTAATACAAAAATCGCGCGTACGGACGGTTATCTTGAACGGACGCTCATTCCCTTATTAATAGTGATAAAGAAATAAACATAGTATCAAATTGTTTGGAAAAATATGAGGAATGTTCTGTCAAAAGTTTTTGCGGGGGAATTATTTTTCGTTCGGCCGTGACGAACGAAAACGTGCAAAAATGCGTGTTTTGCGTGATTTTTTTATGAAATGCTAACAATAGCCTGAAACGTATGCAAAAAAAATTTAAGAAGATTTTAAGCAATTTAAAATTTTAAGCGCGCATTTACGCACGCACGTAAGCGTACGCGCATTTTTGCGCGCATTTATTGATCGGAAATTGACCGGACCAATATTGACCTTAATCGTGATAAATATGAATGAGAAATTGCTTTCTGTTATGAAGTTATGGTCATGAGTTGATTTTCACAAAATGGCGCCTAGATGACGTCATGATGACCTTGAGTCACTGAAAAGTCACGCAGTTCCAGGGGCGTACGCAGGATTTTTTCAAGGGGGGGGGGTTTTAAAATATTTTGCTCCCGAAAATTTGAAAATCGCGCTGGCCTTGGGGGGGGGGGGGGCTAAATTTATTATTTACTTATTTTTCTTTGTAATCATTTTTCTAATTTTTTTCCGGGGTGGCTCTTTTCTTTATTCTGCCCCCAAGGCCAGTTGCCCTTTTACCCCAAATTTGGCGACTATTGAGCACCCCCCCCCCCCCCATCCCATCCCAACCTGCCCCTATCATGTGCGCATATCGGAAGAAAAAATTAATAAACATTTCAAAGGTAATTTCAGAGGTGGTTTGATTTTTTCTTTTCTTTTTTTAGTTCACCATAGTTTTTATTCGGTTATTTCAGTTCGCTAGTATCTCGCATCAAGCAAAGAGGAGATCCCCTACTTCGCTGCTATTTTTGGCTTAAAATTGCTTTTTATGACGTCAAATGATTAAAAATCATCAAGTTTTGGTATGTTTATATTTGCATATATTAGCATAATTAATATTATTGATATTAAATCCATAATAAACTGAGATTTTCAGCTGGGGCACTAAAGTCCGGGTTTGCCGTACTACTAGTAGTACCGTAGGCCTAGTAATATTCTGAAAACTCTTTTCTTTGACTAGCTAGACCCTAGTAGTCACTGACCTAGGCTTACTTACTTACTTACTTGGTATACTTGGTAGATTAGCCCTCTTTTCCTAAGGGAAGGGCTCTCAGTTGACTTTTAAAAGTCGCCACTGTAGGTGCAGACACTACTTTTTCTGGTATGTAGGTTGTTCCAAGGTTGGACCACTCTGTTAGTATAAAAGTGGCCAGTCAGTTGAGTTCTGGAACGTCTTTGGAACACTTTGCTAGAATGCCCTCTTAATTCCTTATTTGGGTGGGAGAAGAATCTTTGTGCTGGAGTTGTGTAATAGCCATTAAGGTATTTGTACAAATTGATAAGGTCTGTTCTTGCTCTTCTCTCCTTCAATGTCTCAATAGGAATTTCCTTGTTACCAAGACGTAGGCATTTGGTCTGCACCTTCTCTAACTTCTCAATATTCTTCTTTGTAAGTGGGCTCCAAGCAGATGATGCATATTCCAGCGCTGGACGAATTATGGATTGGTACAAAATGGTGATTTTCCTTTCATCCAGTGCAGTGAAACAGCGTCGGAACATTGCAATCTTACAGCGAGCCTTTTTAACTAGTTCATCAACATGTTCGTTAGGGGTGAGGGTATTGCTAATTATAACTCCCAAGTCCTTTTGGTTTGTCACTTCCTGCAGATGAACACCATTGAATGAAATTCTGTTAGGCCTATACCAGTACGATATAATCCCGGCCCCCCCACTCAGTGTTATTTAGGGTACGCATATGCTTGTTCCATATTTTTTGAAAGCACCCCCTATCTGAGGACTGCCAACATTTTCGAACCCCCCTTTCGCAGGCTTTTCGCGGGCTTTTCCTGCCTTGGACTTGGAGACCCCCCTAAATCAGGAATAATGCTCTAGACCTATGTACCCCCCTAAATTCGGAATATTTTCTCAGGAGACAGGAGTCCAAAGAGATGAGAGAAAAAAGAAAAAACACCCCTTTTAAAAAAAATATCTTGGTGAAAAGTCAAATACACCCCTTTTTTTACAATTCTCGGGCCGGACTTTGTCGCACGAAAAGTACCCCTTTACCGGACATTTTGGTAACACGCATGCGGTCATTCCAACCTCTGAGTGGGGGGGCCGGGGATATAATGTAACCCAAAATGGGCATGTCGCTAATTCAGAAGCCTATCCAAAATTTGACCCGTAACTGCGGCATGTAGATACCCTACTCAAACATACCAAACTAGCACCATGGGGGCATAATTGCATTTAGTAGACGTGACGTGGTCGAGTGGATATGTCACCGGACTGTAGATCACAAGGTCTGAGGTCCAAGTCCCACTAAATAATGTCCTTTAGTTTGGGCAAGACATTGATCTACATTTGAATTTGCCACGTTAAATATTATTTATTTCAGTGATTAGGTTTTTCTTATTAGATCTAGTCTACTTGTATTAATCATAAATTGAAGTGATTCTATAAGATGTAAATTTATAAAGCCCCTCTGAAGTTATGGGACTCCCGTAATATGATGGCAAAATTTCTGTTAAAATTGTTCATTTAAAACCCACTTCTGCAATGATTTTCAAAAAAAATTTAAAAATAGATCTATGATCTGTTAATATTTGATTAGGAATTTTAATTTTTCAATTGTCTGTTTTTTTACAGGCACTTTCCAACTGATGCATGGGGATGAGGCTACCCTCTCACAGGCATCTCTCTCCAGGATCATCAGTGATGTGTCAACTCAAATCGCCCATTTACGTCCACAGTACATCCAGTTTCCAACTACACCTCTCCAGATTCAGCAAACTCAGTAACGTTTTTTTGACTATTGTCAGTTTCCAGGGGTAGTAGGGGCCATTGACTGCACGCATGTTCACATAAGGAGCCCAGGTGGTGACAATGCACAGAGGTTTCTCAATCGCAAAGGTCGCTTTTCTATAAATGTGCAGGTAAGAGTCATAGGCCTGTATTCTGAAGTCTGGCTTGGTGTTATGAGGGGTAAATTTATTTGCATGAGAAATTTGTGCGACAAATTTTTGATATTGATATCTACTTTATTTTTATGTTATTGCAAACAGGGAAATGTTTTAATTCTATGTTTACACGCAAATGATGATGTGCAAGATACTGATAACAATAGGATATTCATAGAAATTATAAAAGTGTATGAATTAAAAATTGTCACATGCAATCAAAATGACCCATGTCACATTGTAACAAGTTCTGAAATTTAAGCAGTTTTTTCCAAGTTTCCAAGTTGTTAAATTTTGATGTGAAGAACCAAAATGCTTTGTGGACGTGATGAGACAGACACAGCATTCCTTTTAAATGTGTATTTTCATTATTAATTTTGTTAAATGCTTCTGTATTTTTGTGCACATATTTCAGGCAGTATGCACTCACGAAGGGCTGATAACAGATGTGGTCGCAAGATGGCCGGGAGGGTCCCATGACTCACAGATTTTTCGGGAATCGTGGCTCAAGAGGATTCTTCAAGAGGCTAGCCATGAGGCCAAATGGCTATTGGGGGACAGTGGGTGAGTAGCACAGTAAAAATATATATTTAGAAAATGGAAGAGAAGTAGAGATTGTCATTTTCATGCTGTTATGTCCAGGGACAAATCCAGGGGAAGGGGGGGGGGGGGGGGGGGGGGAGGGAGGGCCCTAGGCCCCTCACCTGGCCAAAAAACAGGTTAAAAAAAAAAATCTCTTCCCCCCCCCCCTGGAAAGAAAAAAATACCATTCAATACCCCCCCCCCCCCCTCAATGGGCCCATCGGCTTAGCCGCTGCTAAATATTTTCTGTTGAATTGGGACCCCTCTTTCGCCGCCGGCTGGATCCACCCCTGGGTATGTCAGTATGTTTGGTTAATGGGCACAAAGCATGTTGCAAATGTCCAGGGTCAAGAAGGGCTTAACATTATTTTGTGTTTTTATATTCTGTAACAAATTTTAGGAAATTCTATTCCATATTAATAAGCCCATCACTTCTTCGAGGCAGCTAAAAAGAAAACTCCTTACATCCAATTTTGCATATCATGATGATTATCTAACCACAGTTTCAGCCATGGTGATTATAGGCCTACCTATAGATGATAAACCCCTCAAAGTTGGTCTTATAAAAAAAATGAAATAGGAAGAATGTTATGTACCATGTATTGTAATAATTGTAATGGAACACATGTTTGAATAAGTAATGTTTAAACAGAGTTTTGGAGAGCTACTTTTAAAGTAGACCTACAACCTACCTACATTTCATATTTGATTTGCACAGGAAAAAAAAATGAAAATATTATGATTACAAAAATGCTGATGTAATAGTTTCTTCTTTTAACAAATTGTCTTTTCTTTAGTATAAATTTGAGATGCCTCATTAGCTTTGACATTAACAAAAAATCACTGTCCTTTATCCTTTTTTCCAAAATAATTTAATCTGTAGTTATGCTTGCCAGCCATATGTCATGACACCACTACTTCACCCGCGTGACAGGAGTCAGCAAAGATACAACCGTGCGCAGATTAGAGGCCGGAACATCATTGAACGTACATTTGGGATGATGAAGAGGAGATTCCCATGTCTCAACCAGCTCGGGCTCAAATTGGAAACGACACTGACGACAATTGTTGCCGTTGTTGTCCTCTGGAATCTCTCCATCATGAGAAATGAACCTCAAGTCAATGGTCCTGAACCGCAGGAGAACCCCGGTGATCTGTTACCTCCTGATGGAGCTAACAACATAGCTGGTCAGCTAAGAAGGCAGTGGCTAATTGAGCATCATTTCACATAATAGATCAACTTTTTAAGGGATGATTCATTAAATTTTGGCTAATTCTTAATGAACCTCAAGTCAATGGTCCTGAACCACAGGAGAACCCCGGTGATCTGTTACCTCCTGATAGAGCTAACAACATAGCTGGTCAGCTAAGAAGGCAGTGGCTAATTGAGCATCATTTCACATAATAGATCAATGTAGAAGGAATGACGCTCAATTAGCTACTGTCTTCTTTAAGTTGACAAGCTATGTTGTTAGCTCCATCAGGATGTAACATATCACTGGGGTTCTCCTGTGGTTTAGGAACATTGACATTAGGTTCATTATTCATTAAGAATTAGCAAAAGTTTAATGAATCATTCATTCTACATTGATCTATTATGTGAAATGACGCTAATTCTTAATTCTTCAAGGAGGTAACAGATCGCCAAGTTTCTATTGTGAACCTATGTAGAAATTCTTGACGGACAAAAATCCGACAAATGATTTCAGATATAGATCTAGGCAACTACCATTATATACAATATAATCTACCATTGACTGTCTCGAGCTGTTATGCATTACTTTATGTTCAGCTTTTTTAGCGTAGTGTGAAGGGACAAAGACAGCACTCATTCCATACACCATTTATGTAAATCAAACAGTTGGTTCAAGGAGTTAATGTATCAATGTGCACTCATTTATTATTTTTTTAATAATCCAAGTGTAATTCATTGAATTGGATAGTGCAAAGATATTACAGATACATGTGGCACCATATCAAGCATTTAAAACTATTACAAGCATGTAATACAAACACTTTGTAAATTCCAGTCGTATTGTATGGAAATGGCACATTTGAAATAGTTCATATTGTAGAATATACAGTCAGGCTCAGTTTAGAGATGGTTTAACCTAGAGCTTTTATTTATGTTGACAATTTACATCTTACCAGTACTAGCACGGTCATTTTGAAATAAGCTTGATTTATTTGAATTTTTCTGCTTTTCTTCACCGATGAGTACTTGGAATAATATAGACATATAAACGGTATGCAGTATGCAGTATGCAGTATGCAGTACCTCTGTTGAATACATTTCAAAAAATTATTATGCAATTTTCTCATGCATTTTAACACCTGTAAGGAATAAACATGTAAAAATGCATAGTTATATCATATATATCATGAAAAAAGGTACAACTTAAAGCTCCAGTAGCTCCAGTTTCTTGGAATGGAAACGTTGCTCCAGCTCCAGGATCTCCATTCTCTTTTCGTGCTCACGGTTAAGGTGCTGGACCTTCAGATCATGCTCTTTCTGAGCAAAATCTAAAAGTGAGGCATCAAACGAGATGGATGGGTTCGGTGCAGGAGACGGTGTCCTGGTTCTTGGTCTCTTGGTCCTTGAACATTTGGAAATATAACACAAAATGTGTTGCAGAATATGATATATAATTCAAATAAATTATTCTTTATCTTACTATTAATTATTAATAAATTATAATATATATAATTTTCTACTTGAATCTTATTTAGAGTTATTTATTTCCCCATTTGATCAAGATAATATTCATGAGGATTTGTTTGAAAGAAATAGACACATTACAGTACATGTAAATCACTACCTTTCAGTCGGTAGGGGTGTGTGAGTGGTAGATGAGCTGGTTGATGCCTGTGATCTATGAGATAAGCTTGTTGAAGGCTTTGAGGGCTGAAGGCTGCTGGTGGATGGATTAGATGAAGAAGATATGCTGGTGGATGGATGCGTGATGATAGGGTCATCCGTGGGATCACTGAGCTGGAGGAGTGTCATGTCATGATTGCTTTCAATGCCATCCATGCTATAATCGTGAATAGAAACAATATATGTATTTAGAGAATTTCATAAAAATACATGTACTCCTATTTTGATAATTTCATCTTGTCCCTCGTTCTTTCGTGTCTCCCTAATGTAGCTTGATCTTCAGAGTAGTTGCTACCGGCCGTGTCAGACACGTTGCCCCGGGGTGCGAGATAGGACTCTTGTAGCGTGCCCCCATTTAAAACTTGTCCCTATTTAGTTATTTAGGCCTATCCTTATTCTTTATATGAAAACCTTAGAACATGAATAATACAATTCAGAATGCATGTATAGCCTATTTGTCTTTGGATGTCCAAGCTGCTTTGAAATATGGCATTTGTTTCAATTTTGAAACGTTATCTTTGCTTTCATCACTGTTTTAAATGAATTTTCCAACTTATGTGATTTTTAATGATAAAGTTGGTCTTCAGACAGTTCATCTCAAGTGATCTGTGTATATAAATTGTATTTAATGCCTTTTGTAATAAATAGAAAACAACAAACAACACCCTGGAAGCTGTTACTTAAATTTAGAAAATGCTGTCAAATTCCAGACCCCCCCCCCACGCCACCACCCCCCCCCCCCTTCTCCTTTTATTTGATTCCCCTGGATGGTCGTGGAAAGTAGGTCCATGGTTTCATGCCTAATACCGTCAATGGGCGTCAGTTAATTCATGAATCGATCAATCTTAAAGTAAGTTAGGCTTAATTTTGAGACTCATTTCTGTTGAATAATCAAACTTTGATTCAACTGATTATTGAGATACGAACATTAATAATAAAGATAGATCTATGTATAATTAACATTTTATGGAATTTTCATTTTCATAATTGGAACAAATCGTGTAATTGCAAAAACGACATTTTGTAGTAACAAATCAAAATTCAACTTTACTTTAAGGTACGAGGGCTCGAAGTCAAACTAATAAGCGCGAACGACCTAAAGCACTACTTCGTACAGCTCTGACATACAAAAAAGGACATAGGCTAGGTCTATCTTCAGACTTCTTTTATCATGATATTTATTCGTGTACAGCACAATAATTATATACATGTAGAGAAGGTAAGACTCTTAAATTACGTGTTTATTCATTTTCTTTTCTTATGCTTTGATTAGACAGGGTAGATTCAGGTGAACTTTAACTCGATAGTTAATTAATTATCCCCGTCACGAAGCATGCGAGAGTTCAGCTCGGCTTCATCATGCACCAAGTTAAGCTCTTCGTCCAGGGTCCGCTTCGCCCAGGCCTTGGCTAGGCTAGCTCCCCGTACGACTACGAGAACGTAACTAGCGCGCTTTTTTGAATCGCATAAATTCACGAGCAGACTACACAAATGAAACGAAGAATTCCTGTTGAAAGTTTACTCGGCATTGGGCCATTATTAGAATAGACACAAATATTTATGAAAAACAATCATTTTATGTCACTGATTTATGTTTATCTAGATCTAGACTCTAGTCTAGTGGCTGTAGGCCTAGTGCAGTATGATCGGGTAATCAGTGACAAAACTAGTTGTGGCAATAAATATTAACTTGTAGGCCTAGACTAGATCTAATTGTATTCTGTCTCTAGATCTAGTCTAGACCGAATTTCCGTCTCTTTCGTTCGTTAGCCTCTTATTGGGGTAGGGTCGGCTGGCTCTCTCTTTAGAGACGGAAACCGTCTAATCACATGTTCTTGCTAACGCCACGACCAAGTCTGGTCGTAGCGTTTTGCCCCCAAAATCCCCCAAAATGTCATTTTACCTCATGCATTGATTATTTAAAATTAGGAGAAGGTTTTACTACCTCGGTTCCACTTACCAACTTGACTGTATAATGCGTTTAATGGTCCCTTTTCTTGTCCTTTTCAATGTATTGAAAAGGACATGCATGGAAATCAATGTGCACGAGCTACGAGTTCGTAATGACGTTATCACAGCATCTCCTTCATAATCATTTTTGCCTTGCGCACAGACTAGAAGGGATGAGATTTAGATAAATAAAAAACAACAACATACGCACGAAGACTACGGAACACCACTGCATGACTTTCAACACGGCTGTCAATTTAGACCCGTAATTTCCTGAAAAGGGACCATTAAACGCATACAGTCAAGTTGGTAAGTGGAACCGAAGTGGAAACTTACAGTTTAATCATTCAGCTCTTGATTATTTCACTTACCCAAAAGAACTGCAGGTAAATTCCTGGCTTTCCCCTGCTAGGTAACGCAATGCCGTCACTGCCTCATTGTTGGCAGTGATCTCTGCATCACAATCAAAATTGTTATGGATTTGTCTGAAATCCTGGGGAATCAAATTGTGAATGAAGGTAGTTATGGCTGAAGGAGATTTGGGAGCTGGCCCTCCCCCTGTTAACCTCCTTCCCGAACTCCATACGCTCCACTCGTTCTTAGCCACCAGCTTCATGCGCTTCCACTGCTCCTTGAGCTCTTTTAACTCTCTCTTATTTCCATAGCGAGCCTGGAACATTAGGTGGATGCGGCTCCACTCATTGTTCTTTGCCACGTTGGCCTCGTAGTCATTCTTTTTGTTCTCTATCACCTCCACACTTTCAGCTAATAGTTCCAGAAGATAGTGTTTCTCTGTTACTTCCCAATTCGCCTTTCTCTGCTTCTTGCTCGACTCTGCCATTTTAAGAATCCTGTCTAGACTTTACTGCAGACTTAGTGCAATGCAAGCTAGTGCAGTTGCCCAGGTACGGTGCAGGGGGATGCAGCAAGCTAGCAGCTACCCTGGAAGATGGGTGAGCTGTACTGAGCATGTGCAGTAGAAGCAGACTACATCTCCATGATAGTTAAACCTTGGCCTAACTTTAAACCTGGGTTTTAGACTTAAACCTGGGTTTAACTAAACCTGGCTTTCAGAAACTGAAATGATACTTAGACCTGAAGTCTGGCTTAGTTAAACCTGGGTTTAAAGTTAAACCTGGGTTTAACTAAACCTGACTTCAGAATACGGGCCAATGGGTTTATCCGTTCTTGAGATTTCTTGCGAACAAAATCGAGGAAGAATAATAACTAGAAATTTAATTCGTCATGGGGACGAATTAGGTGGTCTGTCTTCAATTCCTATGTTCATGCTCATCTTTAATTCAATATTTACTATATTGAAAAAGGTGGAAGTTATATAGACATGTAAAGAATGATGAACATGATGATGATCATGATGATGATGATCTTGATAGTTATGGTGATGACGATGATGATGATCATGGTGATGTTGATGATCATTATCAACAGACCATTGATGACATCTGATTGAAAAAATGAGGGGACATTTAGATAGCGTATAGTCTCAGCTACAACATACTCAAAAATCAACAAAAATCAAGCTGAAATAACGGCGATATTGCTCGCAATAGACATGAATGTAGAATCCAGATTTGAGAAAAAGTCATCTCCCTTAAGGATTACACGCAAAAACTAATGGATCAAGTGATAATAGGGTAATAATAAAGTAAATATGGTTGTTTATTACATTATTTGCGATTGTACGTGTTTTAATATTCAACGGAGATGGTAGAGTGAAGGTCAAAAAGAAAAAAAAGTGAAGAAAAAAAATTGTTGGAGACGCCCGGACTCGAACCAGGGACCTCGAGGTCGGAAGTCAAGTGCGTTACCGATATACCAAAACATTTCCATAGAGATTACACGTAAACGGAAAATAGATTTCACAAATCCGACTTTGTAAGTGAAATATGAGCATGATCCCGGCATCTGATCGAAAAATAAAGGGCACACTTACGATAGCTTATTGTCTTAGCTACAACATACTCAAAGCTCAGCGAAAACAAAGCTAAAACGACGGAGATATTGCTCGCAAAAGACAGGATGTAGAATCCAGTTTTGAGAAAAAGTCATGTCCCATAGAGAAGACACGCAAAATGTGAAAAATTGACATGCCATCTTTAATCGCAAAAATACGCCATGATACCTTTGTCAAAATGAAATTTTGTGTAGACTGCATTTGTAGCGAATTGTCTCAGCTAGATCATATCAAAATTTGGAAGAAAATCGATCAATATTTACAGAGATACAGTCAATTTTCAAGAAATATACTGACGTCATAATATGCAAATTGAAATTTTGAGTTGGAAGGCCATTATGAGGACGTCATGAGTTAATTGAGGGTCAAATGAGACATGAAATCATATCTCCAATTCATACTCTATCAAAATATGGAAAAAAATTGGGTTCACCTTCCATCCTAAAGCGCTACAATGGATT